AGCTGTGAGACCGTCTCAGCGCCGCACTGCGGGGTCGGGCAGGACCACACAGGTGGAGGCCACGAGAACCACGTCTGGGTCTCGCTGCCGGCGGTGCCCACGTGCTGTAGCCTCCACTGTGCCTACAGACGTAATGGTTGCCTTGAGTTCACAAATCATTTTTATCTCAGGCCTGGCCTCGCAGAGCTCATCATCAGGTCTGTGTGTGTCGTGCAAGCCTCCCAGGGAGCTCCATTAGATCACTTCAGCAAGCTGAATCAATGCCTGTCAGTTCACTTTCACACCAACAGACAGCTTTACCTATGCACTCTTCCAGTGTCCCTGCCTACACATCTAATCCAGATACAAACTGGTAGGACCTGTTGGTGACCTTGGAAAAGGGAGAAGCCCTGTGGGCACAGCAGTCCTGCATGGAAACGTGTGTCAACAGCACAACTCATGGAGTCCCTCAAAATGTGCCAAGACTGCTAAAACGGAGACATTTTGTGCCTATTCCCATAAAGCATTTCAGTCCTAGACCACCTCCTGTCTCCTTCCAAGGTCTGGGCTGGACTTTTCCTCACCCTGCCTCTCTCAAGCTTCTACTTACACCACCAGAAACTGGGGACACGCTGCTTATCAGTGCCCACCAGCTCTGTGTGGAGTGTACTGCCAGAGATGTTCTGCTCTGGGTGTCTCGTCCCTTGAATATTTGAGCATTATTAGCTAAAGGTAACAGAAAACAAAACCCCACTTTTCTTGCCTCTCCCCTCAAAACCAGCCGTTAATCAGAAGGGGTGTGTGGCTGATCCTAATAAGACATACGTTGTCATCAAGCTGGTTTGTATGGGCTGGTCATGTGGCTGTGTAGACCCTGTGGGAGGATTTAGATACCTGGGAAGACAGCAGCTGCACAGAAAGATTTAGGTGTGATTTCAACCATTCTCAGGAACACGGGAAGCAACTAGGGGCTGTAGGTGATCTGCAATGTGTAGCTGACGCATTCCAGATGTCTGCGCAGTAGTATGGACAGACAGAAGGTCAACAGCACACACTGACAAACAATGCCATTGCTGAGAAGTAACTGAAACCAACTCTGAACCCTTGTTCAGAGGAGTAAGATGACAAAATCCAGCTGGGATCACTTCAGAGATCAACTCCAAACAGTGACAGGGAAGAAAAGGAAGCAACAGGCAATTGCCAGCACATCTTTGCCTGTAAGCCTAAGTATTTCAAGTATTTCAGGCTTCCATAGGAGTCAGCATTCCTTTCATTATCCCACTTCACTCTCTTTTTGTGTTTAGCCAAATTTCTGAAATAGCCACAAAATTAATTGAGTATAAGTTTTACCTAGTGGGCGAGAGACAAATGGTTTTCTCAGAGCATGTTTAACATGTTTTCCATAGGTTTACACCAACCAACATCTCAAATTCAAAACTTGACACATTTATTTACTCTTCTGAATTGACAGGTTCAAGTTCATCCTTTTATTTTTAAGGGCCATTTATTAAATGCAGTTAACATGACAAATATAGGCTCCCCATATTTGTAAAACTGTCTCCTAAGTCCATATCTATAGTTTAGCTTCATATTCGCTAGGCTATAAACACAATTAGAATAAGGCATACAAAGGGCTTCCAGCAACATTTTGTATCTTGTTGCACCTGAGACATCATCATGCCCATCATCTTACAAGGCATTTTCCCCTATGATCAGAAAAGCAAATTTAAGCCAACTGTAAAGTCTCCGAGAATACTCTGACATTTGAAACAATGAAAATTTGCTTTGACAATTTCTCTTTTTGTACAGAGTTGTACTGCAGATATAAAATCTGATTTTTGTATGAAGTATGTGCATTCAGTCTGGTCCAAAACATTTGTATGGCACATACAAACTTACATTTAACTTTTATCTTTATTTCAACAAAAGTAAATTTAATTCCACCTTCCATCAGAAAAATCTGAGATAATCAATGCAGAAGCCATTTCTGCATTTACTCACTTTTTCCTTCACCAACCTCTACAAACTGTTCTTGGGCTATTTATATCAGACTAACTATGAGGAATGTTTTCTAACTATTCCAGCACTGCTATTTCAGCTGGATTCGTATTAATGGAAAACTCTCCATGGAGTGGAGGATAAATGCCCTTAGAAAGAAAGTTCGGCTCTGATACATTGTCTGAGCAACTGGACACTTCCGTATACACAATAAATTTAGGCAAAGGACAACAGAAATGGAGGAAATGAGGTGTGGAAAAGCTGTTAACCATTCCACTCACAGGCAAAAGGGAGAAGAACAGAGAATTAGCAACTTTCTCTAACATGTGTGTCCTGTTCTGATTCTCTGTAACATCCTTTCACACCCTCAGCAGCACAGTGAAGACGAGGAGCGTAATCCCTATAATGCTACTAAATACCAAATAGCGCTCATTTTCAAGGAAGCCATGCCAGAACCAGGAAACCATGGTACTTTTCCTCACCTGTAATTCATCCTGGTTCCCACACTTCAGAGAAAGGAGTTTTATTAAGTAGCATTTTCAGTTATGACAAGACAAGAATCCAGGAGAGAGGCCTGTACTTGCATTCAGCTTTTTAGAACACAGAACAGTGACTGGTGAGTACAAATATTATTATACAAGAAATCAAGTCACTCAAACCCTCTTCATTGTGAAGAGGGTTGAGACTGGGAAAGTTCACAGAATGCTGAGAATGGGAAAAGGATCTAAAGCAACGTTCAAGGCATATGCAAACTGAAGAAATAGGTGCTTTGAAGTCTATACTTTCGTTTTCCTCCCTTCACAAGTCTATACTATGATACGGAGATAAAAGCCAGTGTGTGTGTGGGGGGGGTGTCCTCACCCAGTACTTTTCCTAAATTAAGTTCCACAGTTTTGTTTTTGTTAAAAAAGTCATTTATAATTTAATTCCTGTTTCAGGATTCTCAGATCTGTGGTGCTGTTAACATTGCACTTAATTGGCATTATCCATTTTTAAAAAGAAATTAAAAAGCAGCTCTGAACTTTGCTTCTGAGATGGAAGCACTGTCTCTGAACCAACAATGACTCCTGTCACTCTTGCTTTGCATCTTTCAACGCCTGAAGTCTTTCTAAGAGGGGTGGATGGGAGTAATGCCACATTGAAAAGATCCAGTCAGAAACAGGGAATCCTAAATTATCTTTGTTTAGCTTGATCAAAGCAGAATATAGGTCTTTAGCCTTCCCAAGGTCCTTGGCAAATGCATCTGCTTGAAACTCAAATCGTCGACTTAATACAGTCAAACAAAATGAGAGAACCTGTGGAGAGAAAGATATTAAAATTATTTTAAAATTCAGCTATCTGAAAGTTCTTTACAGTATAAGCAAATTCTACTGTATCTTCCTTCCCACATCCCACACATCACTGTGGCTGTAGAATGATCTCATTAAGGTTTATTCAGGCCACACCTGAAACACACAACTGAAACATGGAGCACTAAGCCTACTTATGAAAATGACATACCAGATAGAGCCCCTCAAAACTTCAAACTTTTCCCCCAGGACAAAATAAAATAATTATTTAAATAGGATGATACTTCAGCATATATGTCTTGAAAACAATTTACCTCATTGTAAGGTGAAAAAATGAACTGGAAAATAATCATCAAGCCTATCAGGGTAGGCTGGGTGTCATAGAAACCAAATGCAGCAAAGAGTTCTTTTCGACCAATTAACACAGCAAACAAGAAGAAGCAGAGGAAGGAATTCATCTAGAGAAAGGAAACAACATTCTTGATTAAGATGAGTTTTGCATCTAAGCCTAAAACTTGTCCTATTCATATTACAGATTTGCATAGAAACACCACTGAAAAAACCCAAATAGATCACTTCAGAACTAATATATACAAAGAGGAAGAAATAGCTGGCCTTTACCTGCTCTCTGTAAATGCATGCAATAAAGAAACATTATTTTCTGTCAGTGAGCTTAAAAAAAAAGGTGTAAGTAGTGAAGGATGATGAAAAGGCAAGAAGACAAGATAAGTGAGGAGGGAGTACAGGGTACAATCCATCTCCTTTGAATTAGGCATAGGTTCCAAAAAGTTTAAAACCTAACAACATATGTCTATGCTGTGTCATACTTATATTCCTGGGAACAATCCACACTTCCATCTAAAGCCACTGCGTCACTGTGTACAGGCACCGTGTTAGCCTGGCTTTTCAGAGGCAAGAGGCAGTACCATGCCTCACCACCTTCTCTAGATGTGATTAGTACCTTTTCAATCCATTCAAGTGGCTGTTTGGTCTTTCTAGAGTAATGTGGAAGGTGCCAGAATATTGTTTGTTATCGAAACACACAGCACAGAAAAAAAGAGGGATGGCTGTGGCAGCAAACAATCAACAGAAAATGTAGAAGATACTGCAGAAGAATTTGTGAAAATTTCCAGAAGTTAAAATAAAATCTACGTATTACAGCAAAATAATAGTATCTAGAAAATGGATCCAAAGGCAAAAGTTACATGAGTTAGCAGAGTGGCAAAAGCATCATAATAGTTGCTAGTTAGTAAGGGTCAACATTGATGTCAGAAGTTGGAAGGTAACAGCCTTAGAGCAGAAAGCGAGAAGGACCTCACTGAAGTCGTCAGTTGCATGGATAAGAAAAAGCAGTGTGGAAATGGAAAGATAGAGGGTTTCTTAAACAGGAGCTTGATAGTGATGTTTACATCCTGAAAAGCTTGTGAATACCCTCAGAAAAAGAACAGAACAGCACTCCTGGAATGGTACATAGTCTCAAGAAAGACATGATGGAGTTACAGAAGGTGCATAGGAGGGCAGCTAAGAGAAACAAACAAAAAAAAAGCTGGGAACTTGGAGAAAAGAAGGGTGATCAATACCTGGAACAAGATAGATCTACATCAAAGCATATAGTAGACTGCCAATAGTAATTTAAGAGAAGGCACATAGCTGTGCCTTGCAAACACAAGAATTTGAAGTAGGAGGTTTTGGGGAGGAATTCCCTTGTATTGTGCAATGCCCACAGGCATATGCATGAGTCAACAGACCATCAGGCTCCTTTTCTTCAAAGGCAAGGCTGGGCAAGCTCTGGAGATTGCTCCAATGTTCACCCCCATTTGGACATGTGCCAAGAATGGCACAATAAAGTTATTTACCAATAATCAATGCACAAGATATAAGAATACAATATAAAGAAGTAAGAAAGCCCTCCGGTGTCAGATTTCATAATCCTCAATCACATTCCTTATCAACCTAAGGAACAAGACCAATAGAAACTCTCAGACACCTAGCTATCTCAGAAATAATGGCAAACACTTAAAAAAATGCAGGCAGGGAGACAGGACACATCCAATCCTATCCTTAGCACAGGGACAGAAACAGACCTTCAGAGAAGGCCCTGAGATTCAGACAAGGAAGAAGTGTTACAGAGCAAGAAAAATGTGTCCCAACTTCAGAAGGCTGCTGAGATTAATTAAAATAGCAGCAAACGTGCTTTCTTAGATGCTTTCTACCAACCAGATGGAACAAGAAGTGGACAGAAAGGCTACTGCATGTTCACTGTAGATACAGCAAAGAAAAAAAAACAAAACAAACCAACTTTCTGTTGCAGAGCAGAATATATTGTGTGAATGTACACTTACAAATCTAGAAGCAGGCATTTGGAAACAGCAATAATTACAGAATGCTGTAGGAAAACCACCAGTTTATCCTAACTTACCTGGCTGATGATAATATTTTTGACAGTGTGACCTAGTTTCCAGTGACCCAATTCATGACCCAGTACAGCCAGAACTTCTTCGTTTTTACATCCTTGTTTCTTATTCTGCAGGAATAACAAAGCACAAGTAACATCAGGTATGACTGAACACAACTGAATAAATTTCTTACTCTCTAGTTTGTTTTTTCCTAAGTCACTTGTGTCCCTAGATCAGGGACCTTCTACCAGCAGATACACACGTATAATTTCTTACTGAGCCTTTTTCAAGAAGATACTTACAAAAAATAAACTTCAAAGTTCAACAAGATTTCTACCATGAGGTGGTGTTCTCTTATTTCTATGTACCAAGACATGCCTATGCAAACCTGGAAGAACGGTGGGAGATTTGACTTCCAAACTATATCCTACCATCCCTTGATCTCATCCTGTTTCTTTATTCAAGAAAAGGCAGTACACTGGAAGCATTCAGAGTCACAGACTGTCAAAAGAGAATTGAGAGCCTTCTCCCTACTTCCTTCAACACTCAACTTGCAGCCTCTCTCCCAAGGCACTACTGTTGTTCCTTTAAAAAAGAATGACAACATCCCTATCCTCTGCAACGAATTCTATGACATGCCTTAAAGTTATCAGTAGGAAAGATGGACATCTGTACCTTCAAAGGTACATTAGCAAGTCAGAAGCGAGCATATGAACTTGTGGACTGAGAACATAGCTGAAGAACCTGTTGAAATAGAACAAATGATTCTCATTATGACTGGGGCAGGTGAGCTCAAAATCTCATCACCCACTTCGGCAGTATGCCATACCAAAATCCTGAAGAGAATTCCACCACCACACGGTTACAAGAAACAGAAGCTAGACTGAACAACAATCTGTATGTTGGCCTAACCCTAGGCCGCACGAGGCAATTCTTTCTTCTCAGAATTACTCCTTCAGGCTCTTCAGAAAGTATTCCATCAGTTTTAACTATCCCTACACTCTCCTGATACCACAAAAGCTGTTACAGCAGACTCTTGGTGTGCACATCAATGGAAAGGCCAATGAAAGGCCCTCATCCTGTTCTTGACCAGTGCAGGGGAGGATGCATGTGTGGAATCCACATGTGTGTGCACACAGGTGCACACTTCTTGCACCAAAATTCTTGTGTGTAGTAACAGGCACACAAACGACACACTGATAGTCAAAAGCATTTCCTTGAAAGGGAAGCTTCAGCATGGCAATCCCAAGAGAAGGAACACAAGCCAAAAACCTGAACAGGTCCCTTTTTCAAACAATTACAAGGAAGACCTATTTTTTAAATGCAGGGAACCAATGTTCAGCTAAAGCCCCTGTGGATTTCTACGGTCTCTTTGGTGCTTTCTGCACCACTCACACAGCCCCAGAAATTCCAATTAGCAGCTCAGGGATACTTTGGTGTTGAAATCATTAGGTTTTGGATTTTAGCACCTCACTCAGGACCTTCAAAATACATTCAGAAAACACAAGGGAATATCGCACCAAGAAGTTAATGTAAATAACATGATGAAAAACAAAGATGAACTCACTTTTGTTTTAGACTTTGTCTCTTCATTCTCACCATCTTCTCCTTCTGCTGGCTCTTTGTTCAATGCAGAATAATCTTCCAGGAGGGTGTCAAAGAGTACTATCCGCTTATTCTTGAAGAATCCATAAAAATAAGCATTGCTATGAGAAGAACGTTTAGAACCTGATGGAGAAAATTTACATTAAAGACCATGATCTGAATAATCCCATGCACTGAAGACTGTGCAATACTACACAGAACAGATTCTTCCATAGGCATTCTCAAAGTTCCCAAATGAATAGTAGACAAACTCAAGCAAATGAGTTTGCAGGTTGAAGCATATTTTAAAATAATCTAAGCAATGATGATTTCATTTACTGACTCCAACATGGAAATAATTTTTTTCATCTGTAACATGTAATCACTAAAATCACAAAAGCTGTAAGAGCAATCTTGTGAAGATCCAATACCCAGAAGAAAAGCAATTTCTACTGCAATTTCAAGTTCAGAGTGGAAAGAGCATTCTGCATAGAACATGTGCTACCCTTCTGGCAAAGGATCTGTGATGAATATGTTTAGAATTCTTTCAATGTGTCAGCAAAGATGATTCGAAACAGATAAGGAGAAGATGAAGAGATGGACTTTAGGTATCAGGCAGTCCCTCAGAATTATTTTTGTTTGAAATAGGCAATGTTTTACAGCTACTTTTATCTAGATCAGGTGTATCGTGGACTGTTTCTGCTATCAATATACTTGGGACCAAGAAACTCATCTCTTTCTACGGCACATGGACTGTTTCAGTTGATTAAAAAGCTGTCTAGATCAAAGCAGCTGTTAACTTTGCCTATTTTTGCCTATGGACAGGAGCTGTTGCAACATCAGGACTGAAAGCGGTCTCTATTTGAGAAGAGGTGTATTGCTCTGTTTTCTGCAGCAAAATATAAGATACTTCAATTTGAAGGCATCTGCCTTCAACCCTCACTATGGGCATGAGCTGCATCAACTCCTTAGGACACAAAATAGCAATTGTTCCACTGTAAGCCAACCCATGGTTTGGTCACGGTAACCTTCAGCACCAAACCAAGACAGATCAGCAGATGAAGAAGCTGGTCAGACTTTGAAGCCTCAGCATCCAGTCCCTTCTCAGTGAAGAAAACTGAACAGCCACAGGGTAGCAACGTTCCCTTTCATCTGTGCATCATAAAAAACTTCATCCCCCGCTAAGTGTTGGTAGAGAAAGGAACCTTTGTGGTCTGCCTGTTACAGAAGGAACCCTGAAATTAAAGGACTTGGTTGCACATGTTATTACAGAGTTAATGCTGTACATTCAGCTTCACTTTTCTGACCGCAAGGCAAAAAAAGAAAAACGGTACAGACATTGACAAGTATTACAATAGCCGAGGAATATAAGCAACTGCCCTACTACAGCTAAAAATCTACACAATCAAAGCTAAAAATCCACAAATTCAAAATTACAAAGTCTTTTTATTAAAAAAATCTCACCTTCAACAACATAAACCTTAGTCAATGGGAAGTCAATGCTCTTTGCCATTGTTTCAATTTGTTGCTTGAGCTCTCCTTCAGGAAGCGGAATGAATTTATCAAACAAAGGTGCAATATAGTCTGCATAGATTGTAACAAGCACCTGCAAACACATACAGAAATTAAAAACAAGGCATACAAATGTGTGTTTAGTACTAAAGGTGGAGCATGAGTAAGTAACAAAGAGGGCACAATTTCAAAAAAACACTTGATAAAGCAGAGTCCTGTATAAAGTGTGATCTACAGCAAGGCTCTCTGTGGGTCATCCGATCTGTGAAGGCTACTTAGTCTGTTGACTGTCAGCAATTCAACAGTGAGATGGGGGTGGGAGTAGGTTAATCTACCATCTACAGTCCTCAGCAGAATTAGTGTAAACAGTACTTTTGCTGTGAGTGTTCATCAAACCACAGAAGGCAAAGCCACTATGACAGCTGGGAGCAGTGGTCTTATCAGGGACAGGCTGTCACTGTCACGCCATTCACTGATACTGGAAAGCTCTGAAGCGTTTCATAATGAGCAGCAAAGCCGACTGAAGCAGGAGGTAGTCCCACTTCTTCAAATTCCTGCTAACTCGCAAAGCCACGGTCTAAAACAGGAAAGAAATTTCATATCCCCCATTTTCTTCCCCTCCTCCCAGTTGTGTGCAGGGCTAAGGAACTGCCTGATGCTTCTGGTCCACAACGATTAACAGCCATGTCCCAAAAATCACTACAATGCACTTGCGTCTCTTCAAAGTGGCAGCAGATGCAGCCCAGATGAGAAAGGCAGGACTGGAATATCACTGTGATGGGAAGGAAAGCTGAACTCCCTTCCCTCATACTCCTAACCTTCACAAAGTAATTTTTATCTATTTATTTTAAAGAAAAGGACTGGAAAAACATTTGAATTCTGGTTAGCTAAAAAGGAACAGGACATGAGAGGCAAGTGGACATTACATTTTGAACATTAACTTTGAAGTTATCTTGACAGGTTTCTTTCCACTGAAAACAAGTACCCTGACTTTTGAAAATATCTGCACTGTAGAAAAAGTTCCATGAAGTCTATAACTAGGGAAACTGACTTTTCCAAAGTCATAGCAAGTGAGGGCATCAATATGAAACACCACTAGAAAATAAAAGTTATTTTCGTTACTGTAACTGTTAAGACAAGAGTTTAAACCTCTGCAGATATTTTGCAGCACGTGTACAAGGGAACAGAGCAGAAATCAGCTAGCTGTCTCAGTCCAGACAAGTGTCTCAGTCCAGACAAGTGTCTCAGACCATGTAGTACATGTGGACTAACTTCAGGTTTTTATCTCTGATCTTTGTGTAATCCCTTGACATCAGCAGGCATAACAGACTGGTAGAAGGATGCAACTTTAACTATGATTACAGAGTTATCGAATGTGATTACAACTGGATTTTTTCCCTAAACAGAACTCTAAAGGGTAAACTTAACACCTCTTAAGGTTATTCTGCATGTCAAAGATTGTGCAAACCCACACATTAAGGCCTCAAAAAGACACCTGAAAAACACCAATTGCCTGGGCAAGCACTTAATCCTCACTAAAAAAAAAAAAAAAAAAAACCATAAGTGGGGAAAAAAAAAAGAAAGTGTGTGTCACACGGTCTTGCTACATTATCTGTCAGTACAGAAGTCTGTAGCTCTGTCAGGACATGTTTTATTTTCTAGCTTTTGTTGTGTGAAAGATAGGCAAACCCCTGTTTTATCAGTTTCTAAAGTATCTGTAAAATCATAGGAAAAAATATACATGTGCAGCTCATATACGTATACATGTACAGGAACAGGCAAAGCAAAAATAAAGTACTAGTTAGTGATAGGGAAGCGAGAGAGAAAGAAATGTGGTATCAGCTGGTTCTCACCTTGAAATTTAGTATTAGTTCCTACTCTCCTACATCTCTTCTTTCCACTAAACTTGCTTGATAAAGACTACAAATTGGACATTCAGAAAGTTTCTCATATGAGATCATACAACATTTTTTACACTATATATTTTAAAGAAAAGATGGCAAGAATAAAAGCAGTCAGTGACGAGTATAAAGGAAGCTAAGGAAAAAAAATTTCACTTTTGGTGTACAAATGAGGGCAGGGCATTTCAGAAAATTCTGTATCTTCTTTCCGTCCTGGGACTACCAGTTCTTTTAAAATTTCTGCTTAATACTTCTATGAAAAAGCAAGTCTTTAAAGCCTTTAAACGTAAAGACTTAAAACATAGACTGAATATCACATGAGGAACTAGTATCTCCCCACTTTTGCAAATAATAAGGCTACAGTAGAATAATCTGTAAGTATGGACTGTTTCACTCTGGTTGACAGAGCAGTAGCTCAAATGCTGAATTATGATTTAAGAGTATATTGCTGATCAAAGCTTGAAAGAAAAAGAACAATTCTTTAAGAAGTAGTGATCAGAGTCTGCACAAATCTTTTTGTAACAGTCATTTCAATATATGTGAACTGACATTTTTGAGACTTAACACTACTATTTTTCAGAATACATTCAGAGATTAAAAAAAAGGGAAGATGTCAGAGGATAAGGACACCTGGACTACGGAAAGCAGAAGCCGGCACCACAAACCAACAGGAAACAATGTATAATTAAGCCAACAAACAAAGAAAAGCTTGAAAAGAACTCAAAGCAGTAATTGCAAGCTAGACTTACCACCTAAGTGGGGCACTTCTGCTACCATGCTATTGTCACTGAGTTCCTCAGAAACACATCGCTGGTAACTGCGCTATGCCAGAATTAGTGGCCATACCGAAATCCACTAATCCACACAGGTTTTATTTCAGTTACATGTTAGGCATCAATGAAGCAAAAATACAAGTAAGCAACAAATACAATTCCAATGAGATCTGTATCCCATAGAAATAGGATTATGAAAAGACTTTGCAGTCATGATTTAAACTGAGCCACAATTACTTCTGTGTTGCCATGTCTGAGAAAGTCAATGCAGCTATTGGATATATAAGTGGAAAATCAGATTTTCCCGAGTTAACTGCAATGGCTTCCCATGTAGCATTATGATCACATTTTTGTAAAATGTGGCCAGCCAATGCCAGAGCTTTAGAAAGGAAGCTGACAAATGGGAAGTCCACAAAAGCTATAAAAGCCATCTGAATCTAGAAGCAGTGGGGAGAAGGAAAATAAAAAAAATTAAAAAAAAGCAACACTTGCTTAAGTCATGACAGAGAAGCATAAGAAAGAAAAATCAGGTTTTCCTACCCAGGTATTCCTAAAAATTTTCTTGATGATGCTCTCCGGTTCAACCAGAAAGTCTGAACTTGACACAAGAACCAGGGACTGATTGACCAAAATTTATTGTTAGGCTAACGTGGCAGGCTTTATTACATCACAGTAATGTACTAATTCTTTTACTTGTCAAGGTGCTCTTTTAATCTAAAACCGTACTTCTGTAATTTCTTCCTCAGGTGAGCACTGGTTAATAATATCGAGCAAAACAACAGCAAAGCACTATGTTGAAATAGAAAAAAACAAACCCAGACCTCGGAGCTTATAGTAACAGTAGAAAACATTAAATCCTTATGATGTATACAAAAAGATCCTTTTAATATAAGCCCTAAAAATGTCAGTTATTAATTCAGTGTATAAAACCAGCTATATCTGAACCAGAAATGGAAAACTGCTACTCAATGCAAAGCAATGCAATTGAGAATTTGTGTTTGATAACCTGTAAGAAAAGCCCAATGGAAACTTTACTGACCAAAGCATATTCTGCCTTGTCTTGCCAAACTGCAGGCAGTTGTCCTTGTGCTCTTTCTATACTTAAGAAAAAGGAAAACCTATCACCACATAGTGTTGTACTTCTAGTATCTATTCTAAAGCTTTTTGAACATTTATTTTTCAATTGATGAAGACACTCCAGTATTAAATAGATAAAATATACAATATCACAGTAATGCGGACAATTAATATGAATTCCTGAACAAGTGCACTGAGAGCAAGACACACTTTTCATGTTTGTAGACACTGAAATTCCCAGGAGATTTAGATTTTTCTCCATTTCCTTTCAGTTAAACCTCAGCACATTAAGTCATGCAAGTAACCCAGCATTTGGAAGAAACCCAAACATATTCTCATACTCACCAAGGAAACAACTAACGTGAAGAGCCAGGCATAGATGAAGAAGTAGTCTCCCCCTATTTTAATAATGTAAAGCAGAAGGGATGTCACTGGCAACAGAATACACTGAGTCACGATAAACTTCTTGATAGCATCCTTAAAAAAAAATCCCAGTGTCTGTAAAGAAAGGATATCAGTGATATTTTCAGTGTAACTATCGATGTGCCACAGTGGTTAATGAACTGATCCTTTCAGTGGATGCACAGAGACAAATTGCAAAATAGCAATACCAACGTGATAAGGAAATTGGAGTCAGTTCTGAAAAGGTGGAAGAAACTTTTCACCTCCTCTCCTGGTAGCTGTGGCTTTTTAACACAGACTCCAAGCCCATGCAGGTGCGCTCTCTTCCTTAGGAAGATCTGACCCAAACCCTTATTTTGTGTTGTACATACATCCTTCATTAAAGGAAGAAAGAAAAATTTAAGCTTATCTGTCCCTTAATTCCTTTACCAATCTAGATCCTAGATATTATGAGATTTTTCGAGAAAAGGAAACTCTTAAAGAAACATAGCTACTGTAAAATATTTTGTCTTTGAACAGTTGCCTCCATTAATCTTAACCTTCAGTAACCTCCAAGCTGATTGTCTTAACTGGAAATATATAGAAGTCTTATTAAAGATTTTTAGATATATATTTGGCATTTTACTCCAAGCTTCCACTGACATGCAGTTACTACTCATGTAGCCATCTCAGGTTTTATAATTAGCATAACTTTAATAGAAGCAATAGAAATTCCAAAAACCTCTACCTGAATGAATCTGATCTAGTGACTCTGCAACATGATTAGACACCCAACTAGCTCTTTCGGGAATTGTTACTTCAGTACTTACAGCTATCTGCAACGCACAGAAGCCGGGGCGGGGGGTGGTGGTGGTTATGTTAAGATCCTTTCCAACAACTTTGTATTAAAAAGCCTATACTATGTTAAAGATATAGAACTCGTCTGGAAAGTCAAAAAATACTGATGAAACAGATTTAAATAAAAACTAAGGATTTGGGGCAAGAATTAGGATAGATGCTTCAGACTCCCACGACTCCCATGATCGGCAACACAAATCAGACATAAAAGCACAATTTTAGACTATTCTTTATGTAGACATATTTACTCTGGTCACACAGTGAGCCCTCTGGTGATATATTCTTGCTAAGCGACCATTACTGTCAGCAGTAACACAATTGTATAGACACATGCCCACACACATGGAGCACTCCAGATGTTCCTTGCCTACCTTACATTCCCAGATAGTGTGGGCTACCTTTTCCAGCAAAACAATTCTGTAACTAGAAAAGCAAGACTTGTGGCTCTCATTCACACTAAGCACTGCTCCTTTCCTGAAAATGGCATGGAGAAGCATGAAAATCTCTGTGGGTCATCCTGGACAAAGGAAAAATTGTTTCCATTTGATCAAGACTCTTAAACTGGTACAAGGCAGGAGAGAGAAAACAAAATATAAAACATTGTGTTCCTCCTTTATTATTTCCTCAGCTAAGCCAGAAAAAAAAGGCCTGTTAAATAGCTTTTTCAATTTTTAGCTTAGTAAACAGCTGGAGAAACAGTCACTTAATATAACCTAGAAGAACTTTTAACAGGAGCATGCTGCCCATGCCATTTCCACTGGGCATTCTGAAACACATCAACTACAATCCATTTACCTCAAGTTTTCATTTTAAGTTTTTTCTTTACTTCCAGCTCCACAATCTAGGTGGAGTAGAGCTATAAAATTGCATGGTGTCTTTCATCTTTGCCACACCTCTTCCCTGCTTTCTAAGGCAGATGTGACTTCAAGAGAAATACTCATTTTCAGCAAGCTACTCCCATGGAAGAAAGAGTCTATCTGAAGATCATTTGCGAATCATTGCTAGACGTCTGGACTGGCACCAGGGGTGAATTTGGCTCATTCACTAAAGGACCTAGCCCATCAATCTGAAATGAAAGATGAAGATTTGACTGTGTTTGTAAGACATTTGGTACCTCAAATTGGATTGCACCTGGACTCAGCCTTCAGTTGGAAGGCCACTGCGGTGGAAAAAAACTTTGTAAAACACATCATGCAGGTAGCTCAATCAAGCACTTAACAACACCCACGGGTGTCAGTGCCAAGTCTTCCGTTTATCATTTGATTAGGCACAATGCTTGCACTGACAACAGTGAAGCACCCAGAGAGCACAGCTCCAAGGAGAAAATGTGTAGAGGCCCCTCAGGCCCCTCCTCACCGTCCCTAACGCATACAAAAAAACCACATGGATTTTGCAAGCTCTCAAGACAGTTTTACAGAAGCCTAAGCTGCTAAGTTCAGTATTTCACCCTCTGCCACTTCTGCACAGAGGTAGTGCCTGATCAAGGCCTGATGAAGTCAAGCTCTCCATCTATCAGCTAGTCTGCCAGTTCGCTCTAATTCTAGTGCTTTACAAGTCCCAGTAATGACAGTCTTTAGACTTTTGTGTCCTGGACATAAAGAGCTCGCGGATCTGGCACCAAGATGAAACTTACTCCTCACTAAGGTAGGAGAGACAACCAAGGTGCAGGCTTGATGTGACGACTCAGGATTTACATGAGAGACAACAGTGAAAGAAGGCTTTTGATGCGTATTTAAGGATTCTGAATGTCAAAAGGATATCTAGGCTAGGCCAGGGCATAAGCACACTACAAGAATTAGGACTTTGCCAGCCCTTACAATTTTTGAGGACTGCAGAACAGAAGTGATAGACAGAGAACAAAAAAAATACAACAAACAGGTATTTCCCTGAAGGAAAGATTGCTTGACTTATGCTCTGGAAACATGGGAACATTCCTTCCTCCCTTGATAGGAGCAGGATGTTAGCCTGCCGGTATGCTCACTGTAAAGTCTGCAGAAGCGAAAGGGATCCCCAGGACTATGGCTCAGAATCACCTAGTATATGAATGGCCATGTGTGTCACCATTCTGACGACAAGTATATTGCTGGTGAGAGAAAAACGTGATTGTTAGAAATTACGCATATGTTTGTAGAAGCACAAGGTTTTTTTATAAGACTAGAGAGCTATATAGAGTATAAAGAGAGTTCTGAGTTGGTCACGAGCTCAAAGCTTATGACTTAACTAGAACAATCTTCAGATTTGTTTCCGTAAGACTGGAGCAGGAGCCGCCATTGGCACAGTATCCAAACATTGGGGGCCGGGGCAGGGGGAAACCAAAAAAGCCTTGCAGATTCCAGGAATACATACAGATATCAAGGCAAAACTGTGCAGTGAGAATTTTCATTGTTGGGCTTTTCTGGAAAGAAAATAGTATGCCACTAAATAATTGACATGAATCAAAATAATACAGGACATATCAGGATCTACGCACTTGTTTTAAAGATGATTGAGAGAGGGTGCAAACTGGATCATCGCATTTAGAGCTTTTTTTCTCACTTATTTTCTTACTTGTTTTATAAAACGAATAAGAAACATCAATTTATCAATTTAGCAGTTGAGAAACAAACTGATTCTACTTCTTTAGGTCTAGCTCAGTCTTCCTGCCTCCATAGAAACTGGCAAATACCAGAGCATCTCTACCCTTATTAAAATGAGCCTGTAAAAAAAAAAAAACAACAACAAAACAACTACCTCCTAGTAGACTTGGAACAGAAAGTACTGTAAACAACATTAGCTGGGTCCAAAAGCAGAAAGCAAGTCTTATGCTCTGGCACAAAATGGCTAATGATGTGTAATTGAGGTTCCTGTCCCAAAAGGAAAATCTGATCCCAGGAGAAACTGATGCTGAAACAGGTTAAACTAAGGGAAAGTGGTGAGGGAAATTAAGAAAGCCAGGGCTGGTATGGAGTACCTAACAGAAGTACAAATGAGAAGCTGAATTCTCTAATTTACTAAAGGCTAATACAAGAAATCAATAAGAGAAACAAAACAAGGAGGAAAGTAATTTCTCAGGTTTGTTTCATCTGTTCAGTGTCCAGGAATCAGAACTGTCCCTGTCAAGCAGTGATCATGACTTCTCAGGAAGGGCATATGAAGGGCAAAGAATAGTCTATCCAGAAATGAACAGCTGAGGCGTTCTTTGTTCCACTGCTAGAATACACACTTCTCTTTACTCAGAGGCACGGGCTCACGCAGAGACATTCTGGTGCGGCATGGGTACTTCTGCAACAGTCACAAACTGTCATTGCTCTTATTTTTATAGAGTGCAAGTAGAAATATTCCTAAAACTAATGATCTTTGGCACAGATATGGGCATACCAGTCCATCTAACCAACCAAACCTACTGAAGACATTAGGTCAGTATAAGTGTTATCGACAATACCTGTTGATTGAAGCCATGTTTCTCTTCTATGACAAATGTGTTATATAAACTCCATGGCAGACCAGTCACTGCACTGAAGAGTGTTGCAAGCAGCAGAAATATCAATGACTGGACAATCTAAAAAAAAAAAAATAATTAATAAAAATCTAATATTTACTGACCTGTACTAACATTAATATTCCAAGAGTTAGAAATGGATTTTATGTCAGTGGTTAGAAGATGAAGCTAGATAAATTCACAGAAATAACACGCTTGTGATGATTAGATTACTGATCGCTGGAATACCTTATATGTTAAAGAAAGAAAAATAAAAAATATACTCATGAAACAAATTTAAACAAAAACTAAGGATTTGGGACAAGAATTTGGATAGATGCCTCATCCACAGCACAACGACAACATAAGCAGTAGCTTCAAATTTCTTACCCTTTTACTGTGCAGCAAGATGACATCTAGGATTAGTAAAAAGACAACATCCAAACAAAAAGCCCACAAAACCCCAACCCACCACCTTGTTTGACTCAAGTAGCTTTGAGATTTGTACATTTTTAACATACAAGGCTATTTGAATTAGTAAGCTAATTTAAGTCACATACTGTTATCAGTTCTCAGACTCGCCCAGTCATTGTGTTCACTAGAAAATATCTGCTTTTTTACTATATTGTACCTGTAGCTAAATCTCACTTTAAGTAAATGCAAGCTTAAAAGTAAAAATTATTATAACAGTATAGTTCATGGACCAAACGTTTTCACTAAAATTTAAAGACTGCTTACCTCATATTCTGGTCCAAACCCAGCACGACCAGAGATCTGACCAGACAGATTCCAGAGAAAAGGAATTCCTCCATAGAGCAGAATCATCTTGAAAACAAAAATACATACCACAGAGGCAATGAAACAGATTGTCATCTTATTCCACTAACACTTCAGCATGATAAGGACCTTTTAAGGGTGAATGAGAAAAGTTTTATAATTAGGCTGTGTGTCTCCCTCTGATCTTAGCAGTGCATAAAGAAAGCCTGGAACATTTGGCAGGGATTCATTTTTGCTTTACAGAAGCAGAAATCAGGTGAAGCTTTCCCCTCCACCGCGAGAAATACTAGCACTGCATTCCCTACCAAGAGAAAGGCATTCAGAATAAGGGCGTAATTTCACTTTCAGTATTAGTGCTGCTCCGAGCATTTTAAGGAAGTGTCATGCTCTCCTCCTTGTGCCTGCCTCAAAATGCCTCCTGCCATACAGGTTGCCAAGGAACAGTGAGTGGACTACTCGGGACACACCATCATCAAAGAAATGTTTGAGACAAAGATACTGAAGCAAGTGCTAACTGTAGTTCAAGGCAGGGGCTGGTAGCGTCTGTTGAACAGCTTGACTTCCAAATGTTTCACGTTTACTTTCTTAGCAAGTGATGCATCACTATATATATAAAGATCAGTTTTCAAGTAGGCAGCCTTCCAGAATGGACAGTAAGAGGTTTTTATTTCCTTATTTATTTTTAAAAGGCTTACTCTTATAACCTGACTATTGGAGTGCATTTTGAGTGTCAGCAGGAGATGGAAAGTGCCAAAGCAAGCTTGTTTCTGTTTTGCAGGCTACCTCTAAGTTTCAGAGCTGGAAATCTCAGAAGTACCAATCCATGAACAAAGACAGCTATTAGCATGATAATGATACTACTTATTAGTTAAAAGGAAACCCACATAATTAATGGCTGAAATAAATAAAAGCATACTAGTAATTCTAACACAGCAACTCCCCGTCAATTAACTTGCTAGGTTAATGACTCATACTTTCACCTACTCAAAGCAAAATGTTGCAAAACTGTCATCCAATTTCATCAACTTTGGCCACAACAGCCTCTTTCAAGTTCAGTCAGTTCCCAAAGCCAGTAAAGGATGCAGTTTACGCTCTAAGGAAGTGGCAAACCTAGACAGTAGAGGCTACCTCACTTTAGCTCTGCTGGAATCTGACAATTGCAGGAAAAACTTGGAGAAACAGAAAGACACAGCTCAACATCACAGAAAGGAGCAGGAATTCATCATCACATACATGTAGAGAAGCAGCTGCATGTACCCTACACATCAGGGGTATCAGCTTGATTGTACAACAGAATCGCAGAATCATTTAGGTTAGAAAAGACCCTTAAGATCACTGAGTCCAAACGTTAACCTAACACTGCCAAGTCCACCACTAAACCATGTCCCTAAGCATTATGTCTACACATCTTCTAACCAGCTCCAGGGATGGTAATTCAACCACTGCCCTGGGCAGCCTGTTCCAATGCTTGACAACCCTTTCTCTGAAGAAATTTTCCCTAATATCCATCCTAAACCTCCTCTGGTGCAACTTGAGGCCGTTTCCTCTTGTCTGGTCACCCATTACTTGGGAGAAGATACTGACCCCGACTCGCTACACCCTCCTTTCAGGGAGCTGTAGAGCGCAATAAGGTCTCCCCTCAGCCGCCTTTTCTCCAGGCTGAACACCCCCAGGTCCCTCAGCTGTTCCTCATAACACTTGTGCTCCAGACCCCTCACCAGCTCCGTTGCCCTTCTCTGGACACACTCCAGCAGCTCAATGTCTGTCTTGTAGTGAGGGGCCCAAAACTGAACACAGTACTTGAGGTAGACCCTTATCAGTGCCGAGTACAAGGGGACTATCACTGCCCCAGTCCTGCTCACCACACTATTCCTGACACAGGCCAGGATGCCACTGGTCTTCATGGCCACCTGGGCACACTGCTGGCTCATATTCAGCCAGCTGTCCACCAGCAACCCCAGGTCCTTCTCTGCCAGGCAGCTTTCCAGCCACTCTTCCCCAAGCCTGTAGCATTGATGGGGTGGTTGTGACCCAAGTACAGGACCCGGCACTAAACCATGTTGATCCTCATACAACAACCCTCCTTGGGAATGGGGAACGTACAGTTACAACCACACTATTGCTGCAGCCTTCAGACCAGAGGTATTTTCCCCAATAGGAAAGCAGCCATGACAGTGTAAGGGTATGCAGGACAACGTTTGTACATTATGTCCTTTTTTTTTTTTTAAATTAGGTTGATCACATTAAGTGGACCAAGCAGGCAGGGTTGTCTTTTTTTCTTTTTGAAATGCAAGCTCGAAAGTCCAAAGCGAAACCAGCAGAATTCAGTAAAATTGAGAACAAGTTCTCAAAATCTAAGATGAATATCAAGTCTAGACGTGGTAGCAGCAGCAGACACAAGATTACAGTAAGCTGGATACTCAATGTCTCTCTTAAATCCATGGTACACAGCTGGAAGTTCCCAATGTTTCACAAGCCATTACCTCAAAAAATAATCACCCTAGTTCTCTATCCCTACCGTTTGGACCACTCCAAAGGTAATAACTACTTTATCACTCAAATTGCTCCAGCTGACAACTAATTCAGCTCTGAACTTTATTCTAAGCTTGTATTATCTTCTCAGTGTATAGTTGACATTACTGACCAGAAGTGGCTTTATATGCCTCCAAAAGCACCTATTTTTTTCGAGCAGTTAGTGCAGTTGGGAAAGTGCTATTACCTACATTTTTTTTTTCTGATCTTAAAACATACCAAAAAAAAAAAGGTACCATAAGGATGTTTCCCAACTCTCAATTTTCCAAGAAAACATCTTGTCCTGGGATGAAAATGGATTTGGGGGGTGGGGGGCAGAATTTCCATTCAAGTGTCATTTTCCTTTTGCAGGAACAAAATAATCAGAGAAACCTGAGTATGTGCTTTCCTAGGGAGAGGGGAAGATAACAAGGGTGTTAACAAGGAACACAATTTTAAAGGACAGGAATTCTAAACACAAGGGCAGCAGAGCAGACTAGCTGTGGTAATCTTCCGAAGCTGACAGCTGGCTATGATATACTTCCCTTACATCATTCCAAATGGGACCTGAGTGTTCAACCACAAACAAATTTTGTGACTTTAACAAAAAATTTATTAAGGACTCTACAAACATGGAGTCTTTGAAAAGTCCATGGCAATGTTGCAAAGAAGGAAGTGCCCAGCCAATGCCTAGCACCATGAGAAGTAATGTAAATCAATCTACAGAGCTCGATGAAGATACCCAGCTGCAGGGATGACTGGATACCAGGGATACTATATGGTTGTAGATTATTTAGGTTTAGCTAAGCAAAACTTATACTAATCGAGCCATAAAGAAGAAATGAGATGTAGGAGCCACTGGACTTGTAAGTGTTACCTTGCTTCCACAAAGCTCTGCAACCTCTGTAGCAAATCTGCGAATGCAGGCAAAGCTTGGACATCTAATAGCCTGCAGGCCCATTAGCAGTACTCTTGGGACAGCTCACTCCCAATCCCACACTCAAGAATTTCTAGGATACAGAATCCCAAGACCACAACCCATGAAGCTCATGTAGGAACACTAACTTCTTGTTCAGGAGATCAAAACGACTGATGATACTAGTGGAATATGGGCATACAGTATCTCAGCTGACTACTCTGAGACCTGCTTATTTGGGCCATTGCTCGATTAATTAACTGGGAGCTTCAAGTCATATTCCATGTTTTTTTCTTTTGGCTTTTGTTCACCAGTATCACTGCAACAAAAAAAAGTTGAGTACCGCAATCAATTTGAAAACAGCAGCAGCAGTTTGAGACACAATTGTTTCCCAGCTGCTTATCGCTATCACAGCTGAAACAGTGGAACAACATATAAGCTAAGATGCTTGATGTAGTAACTGGTTTTGACTGCTGCTTAGGAAGGACCAGCATAGTGTGAGTTTTGTGGCTCAGTTGTGGAAGACAGCTGGATGCAGTAATTTCTTTAACAGATCCATCAGCTGCCAAAATCATTGCAGACCTGTTATTACAATAACAGGGACAGAAAAGAAAGAAAAGGTCATGAGAGAAAGCAAAGGATGTGCTTTTCCTAATCAGGCCCAATCATAGAATGGTTTCAGTCAGAAGGAACCTTGAAAGATCATCTGGTCCAACCCCCCTCCCATGGGCATCATAAAAAATGTCTTCCTTTTATCCAAGCTAAACCTACCCTCTTTCAGTTTGAAACAGCTGCCCCTTGTCCTGTCACTACAGACCTTGGTAAACCGTCTGTCTCCATCTTTTTTATAAGCCTCCTTTAAGTCTTGAATGGCCATAAGAAGGTCTCCCCAGAGCCTTCTCTTCTCCAGGCTGAAAAGCCCCAACTCTCTCAGTCTTTCTTCATAGGAGAGGTACTCCAGCCCTCTGACCATTTTTGTGGCCCTCCTCTGGACCCACTCCAACAGGTCCATGCCTTTCTTGCACTGAAGACCTCAGAGCTGGACGCAGTACTGCAGGTGGGGTCTCACCAGAGCAGAATAGAGGGACAGAATCACCTCCCTCGACCTGCTGGCCACACTGCTCTGGATGCAGCCCAGGATGCGGTTGGCTTTCTGGGCTGCAAGCACAAATTGCTGGCTTATGTCCAATTTTTCATTCACCAGTACCAAGTCTTTCTCTGCAGGGCTGCTCTCAATCCATTCATCCCCCAGCCTGTATTGATGCTGGGGATTGCCCTGATCCATGTGCAGGACCTTGCACTTGGCCCTGTTGGACTTCATGAGGTTTGCATGGGCCTACTCCTCAATGCTGTCAAGATCACCCTGGATGGCATCCCTTTCCTCTTGCGTAACAACCGTACCACTGAGCTTGGGGTCATCTGCAAACTTGCTAAGGATGCACTCAGTTGCACTGTCTATGTTGTTGATGAAGATATTAAATAGTATTCGTCCAAGTGTTGACTGTTGAGGGACACCATTGGTTTCCACTTGGACATTGAGCCATTGGCTCTAACTCTCTGGACTCAGCCATCTAGCCAGTTCTTTATCCATCTAACAGTCCATCTGTCAAGCCCATCTCTCTCCAATTTAGCAGCTAGTATGTTGTGGGGGACCATAAAAACAGCAGGCCTGGGTAAACATAAGCACAGACTACTGATATGGCTCTTTGTTTAGCAGGGCCCTAAATTCAGTGGCAAAAGAGGCTCATTCAAGTTCTATATATTTTCCTTAAAAACAACAGGGGAAGCTGTGTTGGCTAAAGCTCTTGAAATCAAGATAAAGCTTCAGAACCTTTTGACTTGTTGCACTTGCTAGGTGGTACCATCTCACCCTGTCCACTAATCCACTGCTGGAGGATAGCTTCATTTTTCAAATGAAATATTGCCTCTAAAGTTAGTCAAAAACATGGATGCTTTTCAAATTCACACAAAATTTGTCCTGAGTTCTACTCAGCGTACCAAAAAACCCAACAAGAAGAATATAACAGCTATACTAACACATGTATAACAACATTTTTACAATTCATACAAAATGAAACAATGTACAGGTTAGGCTGCACAAGAGATCAAGAAATGCAAAAGTTAAGAGGGGTCACAATTCTTAAGTACTAATTTAGCATCATGGTTATACAGTTATATGACTTACGCTATTTTATAATACTACTTTCATTATCTTTTATAATTGACCTTTTTACTTCCTGTGTTCATTGTTCATTATCATACTCTAATTATATTTTTCAATACCAGGCATTTCAGGATTCCTTTTTGACCCAGTTGTGCTAATGACGAGTACTGCATTTCAGCAGTAAGTCAGAAAAGGTTTCTCTTAAGACTGTATACCACACGTGTAAATACTTTGTTCCAACTCAATGGCTCTGTTTTTTCACATATGCGAACATTATTTGCCCAGCACAACTGTTCTTAGGAAACTTAGGAAGTATCTATTGGTACTCTTCTCACAGGCTTTTCTTTCTACCTTATACTTAAATTTTATCTAAAAATTAAAGTAGTTGCATCCCTCCAAACACAGAAAAAGGTCTGTATTTGTAACATCTTAAAATAATTCTAACATTGCTTAATTATTTGCCAGTGGAAACCATAATAGGTCAGCTGTGCCACTAAAACATAACACAATATATGTTGTAGTTGTGCAGTATGACTCAGCAGTGCATAGAAAAAATATGTGCTGTCTGAATAATTCCTTCTTTTTATATGGCAAATACAGCTACAAACAAGAAACAGAATCCTAGGCCTTCCAGATTTCAGTGTTTGACATAAGACACCAGAATGCCAACACTGCAGCTGCACAGGATCACTAAGAATCAAGGTATTTCACATACTTAAATGTATGTGAAAAGTGTCATATGAATGTTAGAGCAACTCAGATACTTACAGTGCCCTCAACCTCTGAATACAGGCCTGACCAAAAGCTGAAAGTGCTTTTGTCCAGCTGATACAGACGAGATTTTTCAAACGTTTCTGAATCCATGATCTGTCCTAATTCCTGTGGTACATGTGTTGTTGTTCTATACACCCGTCTCTGAAAAATTAAAAAAAACAAACACCTTAAAGTCTACATACAATATTTTTAAGGAGATAACTAAGATTTAAAAGTAGCACATAACATCATCCTGTGGGCCAGCACAGAGTTTAAAAAAACAAAACCAAACAACCCACAAAATAACAAATATTCCTAAATTCCTGTTTTCCACCAAGTTCCAAATATAAAACTGAAGCATAGTTATTATGTGATAACCAGAAACTGAGTTGTCTACTTATCAATTTATTTCCAATATAGTTACTATAAAAAGATCACACAAACTCATTTTTCCACAGGATATGACTTAATGCACCACAATAACGACTACGCAGTGTTTGAAACTAAACACCGGATCCTCCTGTGCAAACCATGCAACTTCACAAGAAAACATATCTATGATGTGGCTGCATAAACGAGGAGCTATTTCATTTTCAGTAGGGAAATCACCACTTTAACATTTTTAAAGGCTAGAAGTCCTCATTCCATACACTGCCTTATCTTGTTGCAGTATATTTATCCCTTCCCAAAGGAAAAGCTTTGTCACTTCAAAATACATTCTTCCTCTGAATGGAGCATGGGAGGTTGGGGGGTACAGCGCTCACATACTGCTTCAGTGGTCCCACAGCTCACAAGAGTGTCAGCATTGCTTCCTGCCCTCCCAGCAGTGTTTTCCCCAGCTCTGCTGAGTCAGGCTGGGATGGAGTTAATTTTTTCATAGTAGTCTGCATGGTGGCATGCTTTGCATTTGTGGCCAAAGCAGTGTTGATAACACACTGGTGTTTTGGCTACTGCTGAAGAGTGTCAAGGCTTCTTCTCTCTTCCCCAGCAAGGAGGCTGGGGGTGGACAAGAGGCAACACAGCTGGGACAGCTCTCCTGAGCTGACTGACAGGATATCCCACGCCGTATAATATTATACTCAACAGTAAAAAATGACGTACAGGAAGAAGAAAGGCAGGGGGAGAGACGGTTTGACTTCCAAGGTGGCTATTACTTGGAGACTGGCCAGGCATTGGCCTGCTTGTGGGAGGTGGTGAGTGCCTTTGCAGCACTTGTGGGGTTTTTCTTCCCTCTCTTCCCTTCACTTAGTAAACCGTCTTTATTTCAGCCTATGGGTTTTCTCATTTTTGCTCTTCCTGCTGTCTCACCTGTCCTGGGGGAGGAGGATCGAGCTGCTGCGTGGCTGCTGGCACATTTCAGATCCTTCCCTGAACTCGCCTAACTGAGTGATGTGAGAGTGTCCCCCCCC